TTTGGAAGGCCTGTGGGTAAGTCCCTTGTCATTTCCATGAGTTGCTTGAACACATATATCTGTAATGCAGTGACTTTTGCAAAACAGAGTTGTCCTCTTGAGCCACTTATCTACACAGACTGAAGTTTAAGCCAGCGGGCTGAAGGGGACGCTTCCTCTTCAATCTCTTTCTCTCTTCTCCCCAAGGTCATGTACTTTAACTTCTGAGTCCATTCCCTGGGTTTCTGCTACCTCTTCCTTTTAGCTCTGCTCTTGGCTCTCTGTCCTTGCCCTTCTCTTTGGATTTTTTTTTTTTGGGGGGTGTATATAGGAGAAAGTAGATGTTGAGATTGTACACATAGAAGGAGTAGAGGGAGATACAGCAGCCTTATTTCTTTCAGGTTTGTGATCATCTCAAAGACCATCAGATCTTTCTACTTGTAAGGTGCCCACCTCTTAACAAAAACAGGGGAAATTATTATAATAATTTTTGAGTAGTTCAGTGCATCATATTGTAAATACAACCCAGGTTGGGTGTTGGGGATTGTTGGGTGGAAGACAGGGAATGCTCCTCCTTCTTGCAGTCTCTTGAGGTTCCAGATTTATGGAGGTTCTGCTGTCTTATAGCTCCACCATCCTGAACATGCAGCCTCCACGGTCTCGGAGGAAGGGGCAGAGCGGGGAGGGGGAGGCATGGAGACGTGCGGTGTGCCACTTCTGTTTCTGCTTCTTGAATAAGACAAATGGCCCTATCTTCCTGCAGGGAAGGCCTTCCCTGTGTTCAGGAAGGAAAAGAAAACTGGATATGAGTGAGAAGCAGTGGTTACTCCCACAGCAAGTTTTACATTTTAGGATATTTTTAGTGTTGGTGTCTTTGGAGGCTGTGTCCACTGTGCATCCTTCCAACCTTGAAGCTGACTCCCATTTGAATGGGAGTTGAATCAAATTCAAATACAAGTCCTTAACCCAAGTCTGCTATTAGGAAAAACAAACACGCTCAACTCTGAATGTGAAAGAAAACTGGTTCAGGAGCTTTTGTGAGAGTTCAGCTTCATTTTCTTTGAAACTTGTTCTTTGTTTATTCAATTCCCCAAGTGTTGTCAAGTGAGTGGTATTTAATCCGTGAAAAATTTCAAGTGGTCCCCTTTTCTCTCTCAAGTGTTTCTTTTTTTTTTTTTTTTCTCAAGTGTTGCTGTAGTCATTGTAAAATTGGAACGAACCATTTGATTAAAAAATTATTTATGGCACATCGAGTAGCACTTAGTGTTTTGTCACAACATTAAAGCTGTTTCTGAAGGCCCGTGTGAAATATGGCAGCAAGGTCGGGAGCCTGATGTTCAGAACTTCTCCAAACATACCTCACCATTGGAGCTGGTTATAATTCCTGGGTGCTGACATGAAGATTAATAATGTTTAACTCCGATTTTGGCAATTTTTGCCAATTTCGTTGCCATGGTCCTTTTCTTTCATGTTATTACCTGGAACTGAAGTGATAACAAATGTTTTGTGTTTTATACTGCCAGATAAAAGGTTAAATTTTCATATGTTATATGGGCTTAAGCGCACAGCCACGTGTGCACACATGCACACACACACACACACACACCACATACACAAATACACACATAATTGGATCAGAAGGAAATGAGTAATTCTCCTAAAATGAAAAGATTGTCCTCCTTTTAACATTAGGTGACTAGTTCCCATGCAGTTGAGTCAGATGTAAAAATTGGAAACTCAACCGATGGGTCTTTAGGCACTGACTATATCATACAGTTCTAATTTTCTTTTCTTTCTTATTTTTTTTTTATTCTGGGAAATAATAGTGCTTTTTGCTTTGCCAAGTTTTATTATTGAGTCAACTGCCAAAGTTTAAGAGAGAGAGAGTCAAGGGCCCTTAAAATTATTTGGTGTTGAGTGAAGAGGCAAAGAAAAGTATTTCATATTCTCTAACATTTTAACTTTTATGTCTCTACCTGATGTTGGACTATAATCTAAACTTCAAGGCCTTTCTGATTCTTTCTGACCAAGGTACACTGTTGAGTGAAGTCCAAATATTAGTGAGGGTGACTTTAATCCTATTTATTGATACCCAGTTTGAAACTACACATCCCAGTTTTTAATAGACTCTATTCTTTCTTGCTTGATCTTCCTTGTATTTAAACTTCTGTGCATCAGAAGGCCTGTGTGCCTGCTTGCGGTTTTGCACCATCTGGAAGTTAAAATTTGACTTTAGAAATGATGTCATACTTGCTTACTGCAAACTGGGCTAATGTTGGTTGAAAATTGGATGCAGTTCAGGTCAAAGTTTTGTCTTAAAGGGGGGGGGAGGGGAAAGGCCCTTCAGCTTTGTTTCTTGATTGTGGGAGACTGTGCAAAGCTGTAAAGATAGAGTGAAGGTGATTGAAGGGCACGATTCAAATTCCTTTGAAGCTAAGTACATGCTTTTGGGCGCGTGGAAAATAAACTCCTAAGCCGAAGACCTGAGCTGGCACAGAGTCCTCCTGCCATGTAGAATTTGGGTGTTACGAGTAGTGTGTTGATCATGACCATCCCTGCTCTCTGGTTTATTCTTGGAGGAAAATTCTTCCAGCCAGGGTTGTTTATTTTGATCTCTCATGGGCTCAGGAAGATGCAGCTGGGCACTGATAAGTCATGCATGGCGAGAAGGCGCTACACATGCTACATGTATTCTTCATCGATACAGAGTCTCTTTTCTAAACTCTCGTCAGCACCTCGCACTGCCTCCCATCTTGTAATTGATTTATATCACAGTTTGGGATATTGAGTGTTTTCTTTAGTCCTGGTGGAGACCACCCATCTTTTATAGCTGGAATGCAGGGCTAATGGGACCACAGTTTCCTCTCAGGGTCACACTGAGTCCTGGTCAGCCTGAGTTCAAGTCTCCACAACAGAGTGTATGCCCTTACCTATAACCAGTGCCTACTCTGCCCAGCATGCCCTGCCAATTTACAAGGAACCCACAGATGCCATTCTTTACGTATAAAAAATATTTCTTTTCTACCTGACATGATGAAAATCCAAAGACAAGAACTGATTTTATTCCAGATTGGTAGGTGCAGATAACTTTAAACAAAGACAGGTCACTGGAGAATCTCTGTGTTTAAACTTCAGTGCAACTGGAATCAATTTTCGTTGAGGGGAGGGAAGATCCCCAGGCACGAGCATCCCCTCCACCTTCCTGGCCCCTGGATCTCGATGGTAACTATGTGAGAAGAGCAGATGTTTGAAGAGTCTGCAGTTCTTACCTCCACAGTCACCGGTACCCGTCCTCTCCACACTGCGGTCAGGGTCCTTCTGCCCACTGCACTTCAGGCTCTTGTCACCCCTTCCTTTGCTGGGTCCTCCCAGCTTCCTCCTCCTCTCAGGGACAGAAACTGGGAAAACTCTTCTCACCCGCCTCTTCATCACTTTTGACCTTTAGGAAGGTCAAACTTGGGCACCCCTTTCTTGGAGGTGTAAGAAATGGAGATTCTACCCTAATAATTGTTTTCTTTCTAATATCATCAACTTTTCATAATGTATTCTACATAAGATCAACTCCTGTTTCTAAAATCCTAAAATGTCCGGCACTCTGTTCCCACCTTTTGGTTTTATGAAGGGAGAAACTGAGGCTCAAAGGCTGGGTGGGGGGCGTGAGTTGTTTGTGCCCACCCTCACAGCCAGATACGGGCAGGCCCCAGCCCGACGCCTCCTGCTCTCTTTCCAGTGAGGCCTCTGACTCTGTCCCCATAGTATTTACATTGCTGTTTATTGTGGCTCATTATGGCATTCCTTTTTTTATTTTTTTAACTTTTGTCTTTTTCCCCCTTTCCATCATCGTTTTCTTGCTCTTAGTGTAGTGAGCACAATTTGCTGTGAGATGCAGCAGCCCCTACTTATCCCTGTCCCATTTCTTCTTCCCCGAGACAAACTTTTACTCGTTTTGCCTAGTTATTATGATAATATAACTAACAGGCTTTAGCCCTATTTCCTGATTGTCAGTGTAGTTATTACCTATCAAATTCCGGGTATGAGTGAGGATTAAAATCTTCCTTCACTCAAACACCCCACAGTAGCCATGTAATTTTTTTTACATGTGGTCTTCGGGGGGAAAAAAATAAAGCTTACATTTCTTCATTTTATTACTGACATTTGAAAAGCAGGGATTGTAATAATCTAATTTTTTTATTTTTTTATTAAGGTATTATATGTGTACATATCTTACTATTGTCCCCCGCTCCCACTCCCATACATGCCCTCACTCCCCAGAGTTTTGAGACCATTGGTTATGCTTATATGCATGCATAGAAGTCCTTTGGTTGGTCTCTTGTAATAATCTAATTTTTGAAGTAAGATAGAAACAGGCGTTTTGGAGATACTTTGTCTCTTTTTATTTGTATTCTTTGGAAAGTAGTCTTTCATAAAGCTGGTGAGTGGGTGTCATTTCCACATTTTTTTTCCCCTTTAGCATCATTTACTTCCTCTTGGCAAAATGAATTTTTAAAAAAATATATTTTTATTTATTTCAGAGAGGGAGAGGGAGAGAGAGACATCAATGATGAGAGATAATCATTGATTGGCTGCCTCCTGCAAGCCCCATACTGAGGATCCAGCCTGCAACCTGGGCATGTGCCCTGACCGGGAATAGAACCATGCCCTCCTGGTTTATAGATCAACGCTCAACCACTGAGCCATGCTGGCAGGACTGTATTCTTCTAATTTAGAAGTGTTTTTCTCCATGTCAGTGTTCCTTCATGGTGTCAGGCGTGTCTCTACTCTTTCATAACATCTTCTTTCATAAAAAAGCCTACATTAAAAAATGTATCACTGTTCAGATACACAAGCAGTGGGGCTTTAAGGTGGAGACAGACTGGCAGACGCATGGCCTCGAGATGCTCAGGAGTGACCGCGCTGTGCTCAGAAGGCCTGCTGCTTCCCACCCGCTCCCCGGGCTTGACTGATGCCTCCCCATGACTTCGCCCCGAAACCACTACCTTCTTTCTTCTTCCCGGTTTCAGGTAGATGCGCTGCGATTACGCCTGGAAGAGAAAGAATCCTTTCTCAATAAAAAAACCAAACAGCTGCAGGACCTCACGGAAGAGAAGGGGACGCTGGCCGGGGAGATTCGTGACATGAAGGATATGTTAGAAGTGAAGGAAAGGAAGATCAACGTTCTTCAGAAAAAGGTGAGTACCGGGCAGTGCCCTTCAGGCTGGGAATGGGTATCATCCGCGCTCTGCATGGCAGAGATGTTTCTGAGCAAGTTGAGAAGCAGAGAGCATTCTTTGAGAAATTTCGGTTAGGCAGTACAAACTGTACCTGACTGGTATTACACTCACCCGTGGTTGTATCGTGTCATTTTTTTTTTTTTAGCAAGGCCTGTTGAGTTTTCCATTTGGTTACCTGAAAACTAAATAGTGGTGATATTTTCTTTTCATTTGCCAGCTTAACCATAGAGAGAATTGTACAAATTTAGATGTAAGTCTAATAACAAGTTCAAAAAATTAAGTCTTTCCTTTTTCCTTATGGAGAGTTGAGCAAAGTATTTTGTTGGTTTTAAAGATATCTTAGATGCATTTTGTATATACAAAAACGTCAGTAGATTTTATCCTGCACACCCACACGGATTTTAGGAGGGGGGCAACGTTCACACGCATTACTTACTTAGAGGCCATAGGGAGTGTGTAGTGACCCCCGACTACAGCGACCTAACACAGAAGATGCATGACCTGGGTAGGAATCTTCTTTCCTTCCTTCTTTCAGCAGCTCATTTTCTCCTTTGGGAGGTGAGGAGGATCCAGATTTTGTGACATCTGATTTTCTTTTGGAGAATCCCATTTGCTACTGTATGCAGTTTCTTGGGGGGCCACAGGGAAAAGGCAGGCAAGAAGAGAAAACCCCTGCTCTTGTAAGAACATGTAGTACAAAGCAGGCAGCCAGCATGGAAACTGGGCAGGAACCAGTGGCGAGCACAAAGCCAGCTGGCAAGGACTCTGCCATAGATAGGCCTGTGGCTGGTGACCTGTGCCGTGGCATCAGGTAAATGGAGTCTTAACTGGCCTTTTCTTTGGTGCCATTTGCCATCATCATCTCTCACCTTGTATATATCAACAGCATCCTAGTTGTTTTTCCTGCTTCTACCCATTCCTTTCCTACAGCCTATTCTTTTTTGTTTGTTAATCATCACCCGAGGATATTTTTTTCCATTGATTTTTAGAGAGAATGGAAGGAAGGGGGAGAGGCACACAGAGAGAAACACTGATGTGAGAGACACATCAGTTGGTTGCCTCCTGCACACACCTTGGCCATGGATGAGCCTGCAGCTGAGGAACTTGTCCTTTCCCTTGACTGGAATCGAACCCAGGATGCTTCAGTCCTAGGGCAGATGCTCCATCCACTGAGCCAAACCAGCAAGGGGCTCCTACAGCTTATTCTTTTTTTTTTTTTTAAATATATTTTATTGATTTTACACAGAGAGGAATTGAGAGGGATAGAGAGTTAGAAACGTCTATGAGAGAGATACATCGACCAGCTGCCTCTTGCACACCCCCTACTGGGGATGTGCCCACAACCAAGGTACATGCCCACAACCAAGGTACGTGCCCTTGACCAGAATCAAACCCGGACCTTTCAGTCCGCAGACCAATGCTCTATCCACTGAGCCAAACTGGTTTCGACTCCTACAGCCTATTCTTAAAACAGAAGCTAGAGCAATCTTTTTAACTTAAAATAGTCCACATCACTCTCATCAAAACTCTCCAGTCACAACCAGCTATATCATCTGGGGGGCCCAGTGAAAAATGAAAATGTGGGGCTCCCTTTTTCAAACTTTATTGTGACTTTCAGGATAAGGTAGTAGCAGAACATCAAAACCTTCCGAGTGCGGGCCCTGTGCAGCTGCACAAGTCGCAAGCCCAGGTAGCTGTGCCCACTGCACTCTCAGGATATTGGTGATCAGATAGATCATATTATTAATTCATTTCTGGCAAGTCCTGTAAAGACAAGGCCCTGGTCATTGGATCCCCCCTTTGAAGTTCCAGCTAATTGATACAGATAATTAAAAGATAGCCAGGAAGGGGCCCCCAAGGACCTTGGAATCAAAGGGGCTGTCTAAGGCAGGCGGGACTAACAAAAAACAGGTAAGGGGAAGTTTTTGGACCATGTGCTGAGGATTCAAAAGAAGTCTTTTGATTTAAATGCCAAAAAGAGAATGAGGACAAAACTAAACTTCATTTCACAGACTTTTGTTGAATGCTGTGTGTTGGATATACATGCACTGTTCACTTACTCTTTTATTTTTTTCATTTTTTGTTGTTCTTTTTTTCTTTTCTTTCTTCACTTACTCTTGACTGGGACTCTGTGAAGCAGGCACAGTTATTCAGCCAAGAAATTGAGGGAAACAGGCTTATGGTAGGGTTACCCGAGGTCATGCAATCTAGATACAAGTTTTTTTTGTGTCTGGGAAAATATGATAAAATGGTTATTACAAATTAAAGGAATACGCCTCATTTCATCTAGTTTTCTGACGATGACACCATATGTGGGAATAAATCTAGGAAGAACATCACGAGTGTTCGTTTTACCAGGAAGTGAGACTAAGCACTCTCATTCTTGAGAAATAAAAAATAATCTCAGTAAGGTTTTGGGAAAGGCACTTTTCATGCATAAGGGACAAATGTCCACTTGTGCCAATGTGTATATTTTATAAAATTTTAAACTTTCTCCATAGATAGACTCAAAGGTTTGGCAACCAGTTTGAAAGCCCAAAAACAAAAGCCCTTGGTTTTACCATGGCTCCTTGGGCAACATGATCACAAGTCGACTTACTTAAACCATGTAGATAATGAATTTGGAAATATTTCATGTATAATTGAAGAGGTTATTCCACTTCAGGTCTTTCCCAGTGAGTGTTTCCCAGTACATTAGGGGAGGAACTAATACCACTGGCCACACAGTGAGTGTGTGGGAGTTCTGTTATACCTGCTATGAGAAAGAGAGACAGTTCCTACAGTGATGAACACCGTTCAGGACCCAATTCAGAATACGGAAATAGTACAGAAGCTAATGGGAAGTTGGAACATTGTCTTTGGGACTGAACACTCCTTAGTGTTTTGCCTTAATTCAAGCATGATTGGCTGGGTTAGGGCAGGCCTGGATAGGAACAGCATAAGCTTTGGGTTAGGGCGGATTGGCATAGCGCAGTGGTCGGCAAACTCATTAGTCAACAGAGCCAAATATCAACAATACAATGATTGAAATTTCTTTTGAGAGCCACATTGTTTAAACTAAAACTTCTCCTAACGCCACTTCTTCAAAATAGACTCGCCCAGGCTGTGGTATTTTGTGGAAGAGCCACACTCAAGGGGCCAAAGAGCCGCATGTGGCTGGCGAGCCACTGTTTGCAGACCACTGGAAGAATAACAAACGCATGTCAATGTCAGAGGTGCCGTATTACTTAATATTTCTTCCTCATAGACTCGTTGGCAGCGAGCGCCGTGTTTTGATGCCAGGAGAACTGGGTATGCGCCTTTCATAGCCATGTTTAACCTGGTGAGGCTAGACTTGCACCTCGTATCTGTCAGCTTTGCCTTCAGAGCTTCTGGGTTTCGGAAGTCTTATGTCACATGTTAGCGCAGCAGGCATGGACCTGATACTCTAACGGTTTTGCTACTTGGAGAAGGAAGTGAAGTTGAATAGACACTGGCCCTACTCCCCCCACATGTCAGAGTATCTCTGATCAAGCTTTTGTAGGAAAATGGAAGTCATCAGTAATGGATTTTTGGTCCTTCCACCACAGTTTTGGTTCTCCTCCATAATCTAAGATATGGAATTCTTTCTATGAGGGAATAGAAGGATGCATAGATGAAAATTGTTCCGTGGAATACCCCCCTGTGGCTGAGATAGTGAAGTCAGGGGAGCAGCACCGTTTTCCTGCTGCATTCTGCTGCCATACCTGAATTCAAACCGTAGCTGATGAAGTGCTACCTGATTGTGGAGTCATTTTTGTAGGAAATGTCATAAAACCTTGACGACATTGTACATTTGGGAAGTGTATAATACTCACGTTTTAGGATATGGTAGTATTATTTGAACCAGATAAAATTCACCCAGGCCATAGATTCTTGCAGCATAAACCTACTACCCAAGATCTTTTTTAAAAAGCCATTAAACTAGAAAAAACACACAACAACCTATCTCCATTTTCATTCTAGGTCGCAGTTCCACAGCACTGCGAATTTGTAGAGCAGAGGCACTTTATTTACTAGGGGTAGAAAAACAGATGGCGATTTCTCTGGAAGCCAAGTTCACTTGCTGTCTACTGGGCTTCACAGGTTGCCCTGAGGGTTGAAAAGGGCAAAGAGAGGTGAGTGGGGTTGGCTCCTGGGAGTGATGCTGTGGACCTGCCCACCTGAGGAGCTTTACCCATTTGGAAGCGTGGTGGTAAAAGTGCTGAGTGATGATAAGTTCAGAGGCGAAGATGCTGCAGGAGTATGGTTATTAGCACACTGGGTTTCTTCATGTGGATTGTTTGAAAAATTAATATCTGAGAAAATAACTACAGAGCATAGAGATTTCCACATTAGTGTAAAATTGATTGAAGGCATGGAGGACCTTTTTTCTTTTTTTCTTTTTACTCAATCATACTCTTTCTCTGTGTTTAATCATCCACTTGAACTTTTGTATTTATTATTGGCCAACCTAATTTTTTGAACATGTGCAAAATCAAATTCATTTTGCATTTGCTGAGTGTCAGTCAGTCACTGCTCTGGGTCCTGGAGGTTCAAAAAGAAATAACTGAAGAAGCTGACAGTCTGGTTGCGGAGATAGACACGCATAATCCTAACTATAAGTGAGGAGGAAGGCAATGTGACATGCAAATAGCTTGATGGGTGCAAATGGCAGACGCTAATTCTGGCTGCCTTAAGCAAAAGGGATTTTTTTGCAAGATCATCCAGAGCCCCAGTGTCTGGCTCACAGAACCAGATGAAAGCGATGATCAAAAACCAGGACAGCTCTCTGAGACCAAGAAAAGGCAGACAGTGCCATGATTTTATAACCAGGTGTGTCTGGTCAGGTGACAGCTGCCCTCTTCCCCTCTTTGCTCTGCCCTTACATCATGATGTTAGTCCAGGATTGGAAGTCCCGACACAGAATTCAAAATTTCACACAAATGAAACCAGTCCTT